AGTTAAGAGTAAGAGAACTGAGTTACCTGAACGAGTGACGGTTGATGAAGTTCTGGAAATCCGGTGCAGACGGCTTGTCAGAACAGGCGGTAGGCAGAAAAGGTCCGAAATGTCAGAGCAAGTTCAGGGGTCCGAATGTTCTCGCAAAGTTCTCAAATGTGAAAATGACCGAAGTCAGCACTACCTTATATAGGCAAAGTGAGAAGGCGAAGGGTCGCTGCCAAATTCAAAATTTGGGCGGGAAAATCTCTCGGCCATTTGCAAGGTGACACCTGTAGCAGGCCGTCGCCTGTCACCGTGCGGCACCTGTCACAGGTGACACGTGACCAGTCACGTGCCACCTGTGAGGGGCAAATGATTAGGGGATTTTTATCCACCAATCACCGTCTGACAAGTGAACCAACCAGGTTCCGCCACGTGTCCTTCACGTAGGCCAATAGGAGCCTGCCACGTGTCAATCACAGATACGTCCTCTACGGACCAATTGAGACACGCCACGTGTCCACCCATGCCAAATGGGAGAACCGGCCAACAAGGCCCAATCCTGTTTAGAGGCCCGGTCAGCCCTAGGTTTACCCTAAACCTAGAGAGTGGCACGCTTCTCAAGACTATAAATACTTAATTAATCCTCATTAAGTTGGGGGGAACAAAAACAGAAACAGAACAGGACTGAAACATTACGGAACACAATAATAACCGGCTGATCTCGCTAACAAAGCAGATTACCAACATTAAACTCTCTCACCTAGAGAGACCTTATTACTTTAATTTCCGCATTAATTACTCCTTAATCAGGTACTAACTTGACTGTTGGAGGCGGAGCTCTCAGGAGTCTCCGTTATTTTGCAGGTACAGGCGTCCGGTTCCAGTCTCGGAATTGTAACTCTCCCGCAGGACATCAGAAAACCCCGAAACACCTTACGTTCCTAGGGAAGTAGTGATGCCTCGCTTTGGCGTAATCCGTCACATACGCGCATTAGTTCGGTAAGTGTTATCCTTGGAACGACAAATTTTAGCTCAATATTATTAAGGGACCTAGGGTTTCTATGTTGGTTGATTTAAGTGAACTTAACTAATCATCGCAACATAATAGAAATCCTAGACATGCATCTAGCAATCATATATATAATAGCAATATATAAGGCATAAAATAGATGCATTTGGCAACTAGCATGACCCCTTGAAATCTTCAATTTCCATGGGTCTTCATCTTGGCTCGTCTTCGTCGAAACGCCGTCTTGAGACATCTTGGCCAAAATGAAATAAAAGAAGCTAGCTAGAACGACTAAGATTAATCTAATTAGTACAAAAATACTTAACGGTTCGCAGACCGTATTTTGATTTACAAAAATACATAACGGAACGCAGTCCGTATTTTCTATCCTAGTCGGGCCCCAGTTGTTGCCATTTTCAAAGAACCTGTTTTGGAAGCATTCTTTCATTCACCCGTTCACTATTTGTGAACGGCCCATGCAATTTTTACGAAATACATAATTAAACACGCAAAACTAGTAACTAACTTAGGTCGTTAATCCAATTAACGCGCCTAATTAAAACTAGTCAAAGTGGTTTAATCCATTATTTCAAAACGCAGAATGCTAACGCATTTAATTAAGCTCCCACTAAATTCCACATCCGTACTTAATTAATCCGATTAATTAAGTCGGTATAACCCATAATTTGTCAAAATTTTGCAAAATCAAAAATCTAGGTTTTTAGCCTCGTTAAAATAATTAATTAAAATTATTAACACGGGAAAAATCGCAAAATCATAGCTCAAGTACTAAGCAAAAAGGGCATCATCCCATGGCCCCTACGCCATGGTGCGTGGTGCTAGCAGGGGCTTGCTGCCTCGCTGCCCAGCAGCAGCACAAGCCCACCAGCAGCTCACGCTACACACGCAACAGCATGGCTGGGCTGGCGCTTGGTGCTAGCATGCTGCCCCCAGCACCACGCATGCTTGCACTCATGCTGGCGCCTGACAGCAAGTGGGGGCTGGCTGGTGCTTGCTACCACGCTGCCTAGCAACGCCTCCAAGCAGCCAGCAGCCAAGGCCACTGCCCAAGCCTAGCCACAGCCTCCCTCCTCACACAGCATGCACAGCCGCATCATGGCTTACCCTTGTGCGCACCACAGGCAGCCCGGCTAGCCTTGGTGGCACTTGGGTGTATTGCCTCGATTTGCGTGCTATGACTCGGGATTTTAATCCCAATTTACGTGTGACATGAATTAATTCCAAATTATATTTTTGAATTAATTTGAGGGAAAATAAAATAAAATTATGTCTAACTTAAAATAAATTTATTTTAATTGGTGCACGAGCCTAAATTTATCCAAAATGTCAATTTTGAACAAAATTAGTTCAAACTTTATGCTTAAAATAAAATGAGCTATGTCCAAAATTAATCTTGCCAATATGCAAATTAATAATGGATTTGACAAAAGGGAGTTGGAAAAATAAATTAACCATCCAATGATAAAAATTTTCCAACTTGCATACTTGTGTAAAATACCAAGATTGCATCTTCCAATATGAAGATTAATCAAATTTTACTCACAAGTAATTGAACTTAATGGATTTTAATCAACCAAACATGAAAAAATCCAAACTTTGTTCAACATGGAATTTAGGGTTAGGGTTCCAATCATTTAAACCTTTAAAGATTAGAACTTTAGCATTACTTGGGAACTTAAAATACAAAATCACAACAAGTTTTCACACCTTATTGCAATTTATTTGCAAAATTTGTGAAAAACAAGTTTATGTGATAATTTGGTATATCAACTTAAGCACTAATAAACACTCCATTATTATGCTCAAGGATATTTTAAAACCAGTAGATTAGTGATGCAAATGAGCATTTAATCTAACCTTGTAATGCTTGCATTAATCAAGGCTTAAAAAGAATTAAAACTTTCGTTGAAAAACAAAAAACCCTAGACAAATTGGGTTTCTGGTTCGAATGTGGCTTCTGGACAACCCTAAAGGGTTGAAACAGTTCCAGAATGTCGATTCCACCCAAAAATCACTATTTTTGAGCCAAAATCTGGGTTCGACAGCCAAATCGAAAATAAAATCGAGTTTTAAAAAATTAATTAAAACGAGCATCTAATCTAATTAGATGAACATGAACCAGAAAAATTAAATTCTTTAAAACACCTTAATTAAACAATAAATGCAAAAAATTAAAAGGAAACCCACCAAGACCCGCCCCTTAATTAAAGCAATTAAACAAGCATAATAAACTTAATCAAACAAGATTAAGGACAAGAATTATACCTTTGACGCGTGCTTCGATCCCAAAGAGCTCTTACTTCAAAATCCCGAAAAGACAAGATCTTCGACAGATCGTACCCTCGACCCGACCCGAGCGTCCCAAGTCTTGAAGGTTAGTCAAGACCCGGACAAAATAACTATGAGTTTTACAAATCAAAGGTTTACTCTTTCTTAGAGTTGCCTTTTTAATTCCACTCAAGGTTGTATCAAATCCCAATACCAAGCTTGGTATTTATAGGGAAATGATCCCTTGATTCTCATTCTCCAACCAATGTGGGAGAATGTATATTTTGCTAATTAATTTATTTCTAAAATAAATCAATAAATAAATGCAATCACAATTCGACAAGTGTCAAGGAGAGAGAGAGTATTAGGTGAGGACCATAGAGAGGTGGGGGGACCAATGCCTTGCTCCCCAAGGCTTTCCCAAAGCCTTGGTCCCCACTCTCCTCATAAACCGCCTCACCCTAGGCTGCTGCCCAGCTGCCAGGTAGTGTGCCAGCTAGCCCAGCATGCTAGCACTAGCCCAGCAGCATCGTTGATGCTTGCTGGTGCGTGCTGGCGCTGGTGCTGGCTGGTGGGTGCTGGTGCTGGTGCTGGCTGGTGGGTGCTGGCGCTGGTGCTGGCTGGTGGGTGCTGGCGCTGGTGCTAGCATCCCACGCATCATCGCTGCTCATATGGCCCAGCATGCGTGTTGCTAGCGAGCCACGCATGCTGGCCTCTCACCACGCACCGCACTCCCACACCATGCGCACCACGCATCTCTCTCGCACACAATGCCTAGCATGCGTGCTGCTAGCAAGCCATGCATGCTTGGCTTGACGTTGCTTACTAGCTTGCCAGCCCCTCGCACACTCTCTCGCACAGCCTCACGCATCAGCCCCGCACTGTGCACCATGCACGCACATGCCTCGCCCAGGCACCACGCACCACGCATGCGCCAGTGCCTAGCACTAGCTGTACTTGGTGCGTGTGGCCCTGCACTATGCTAGGGCTGCTATGGCATCAGGCCATCCTAGGGTACGCATGGTGCGCTTAGTGATGCTGCCTGGGCTGCGATGGCGCCCAGCCATCCTAGGCCACGCATGGTGCGCCTAGTGATGTGTATAGGCCTACGATGGGCTGCTGGCTTGCGATGGCGCCCAGCATCATGCTAGGGCTGCGATAGCGCCTTGGCATGATGCTAGGGCTGTGTTGGCGCGCCTGGTGCTAGCGATAGCCTGCCATGGTGCCTAGCCATCATGCTAGGGCTGCGACAGCTGCTAGGCATGATGCTAGGGCTGCCATGGCGCGCTTAGTTCCTATGATGAGCTAGCCTAGCCTAGCTATGGTTACGCTCATACTTGTCGATTGTGATTTTGCGACGCTCGGTCTCGACGCCCTAGGCTCGATTTCCGACGTCTGTATTCGTAAAACTCTGTCGACTCATTAAATCCTTTCGGATTAATTCGTCGTCTCGGATCGGTGATTCGATTGGGTTCGACCCGAAGGGTTCAGTTAAGATTAAGTTGTAATATCAATTGTACCTTGATATTACTGATCGGAAGCGGCCTCCACCTAGGCATTCCGATCACTTGACCTTACTGAAGAATTAGCTCTGTAATAATTCTGAACCCTCTATCGGAAGAATAGACTTGTTGGAAGGACACCATTCCTTTAACTAATATGCTACTGTTCAATTTGGAGTTGTATGTTCATGTCAGTTGATGTTTTCTCTGACCAGGAAAGAAGCAAATAAATTGATAAAACTTGTCAGGTCTCGTGTAGTGGACAGCAATGGAACTTTTGGTAAATTGCTTTTCAAGATTTTGATCCTAATATTGACAACAATGTCTACGTAATTGGCTGATACAATTGTTTTATTTTTTTTTTCCTGATTTTTTTCCTTTAGGTGAAACTACTCTAAATATGCGGACCTCAGCAATTATGGAAGCCAGGAAATGGCTGCAGGAGAAAAGATCAGGCTCAAAGAAAAAGTTTGAGATAGAGCTTGATTCAGCAAATGTGGCGTCACCATTCCAAGTCGATACCTTTTCTTACAAATCTTGTCAATGTCTTTACGTTGATAGGTTATCAAAATTTAACAAGGTTGCCTGGATGTTCAGCTTTTGTGTGTTGATTAACTGATTTTGATAATCTGGATGTACTCGTCTTTGACCAGCGTGTGTTTATGATTTACTTTGTATAACCTTATGTTTGCTGTACATGTTTATGAGTGTCCTTAACTTTGGTTGCTATTAGGTTCTGAGTTACTGACTGATATGTGGGCATAGGTATTTTGGTTTAACTGATCAATTTTAATGCTTTCGAGGGTGGGAAGTGATGTGATGTCTTGAGGATTGCTTTATAACAATGTTACTTAGACAAATGTTGTCTTATGTAATATATATTACTACCTCGGCTATCTATATGAGCACACAACAATTTGTGTTAAGACTTTAACTCTCCTTAAATCCTACAGTACAGAGCAAACTGTGAATGCTGTTATCATGTCTCCTTTACTGGACCACGTATGTTACTTTAATTTTCATTTTCATTTATTTAATTTCTTCTAATTTGTTGTTGCCAATTTTACTAGCTGTGTGGTGTCTATATTTGCACTGCTCTAGTTTTCCAACCCTAAGAGTGGTAGTTGTCTTTTTAGTCTATTGTTTTTTGCTTTGTGATTGTGCTAGCTTGAGAATTGTTTGGGAATTTAGTGATCAAGGTGGTGGTTGAAAATGACAGTGAGAGCGTCATTCATGCTATCAAAGAAGGTGAAGCTGGCAATCACTCCTTCCAGCTTCTGTTGGAGGATATTCACTTTGTTGCTAGCAAGTTCAGTTGTATTTCTTGGGCATGGGTGGGTAGAGAAGGTAATAAGGAGGCTCATGAGCTTGCTCATGTGTCTCCTTGGGGTCTTGATAGGAGAGTTTGGATGTCTGATTTTCCTTAGTGTGTTTGTAATTTGGCTATCTTTGATTTTCAGTCGAGTAATGATAATTGAGTTCCCTCTTGGGGCTTTGGTTCCAAAATAAAAAAGAAAAAAAAAGAGTAGTCTACTAGAATCTCCAAGTTGTCCAGCTACCAGTATTCCACAGTTGCTATGTTAAGCCTTAAACTAACCATACTCTCCTGAAAACATGTAAACCAATCTTTAGGGTGGACACCTAGCTGACTACATTTGTATTTATAGTCTTTCATTCTTAATATGTGATTCTCTTTGCTATCATGCAGCTCTGGAGCCCTTTTTCAATGTTGCTGCTTCTTAATTTGTTCTCGGATAGTCTATCCTCATTACTCTATGGCTCTCCTTGGCTCCAGTTGTAATTGGTAGGTATCTATTCTTGGCTATCATCTTCATTCTATTAAACACAGGAAGGGTAAAGTTATTAAATAGTAGTGAGCTCTCTTGACTTAAAGATTTTGGTTGCTGATTTCTTATAAGTAATGGATAAATAAATATAAAGTAATAGACAAATTACACAAACACATGCATAAAACTTTTCCAAATACCATATGAAAGTAAGCAAATAAGAAGTACAAGGTTACACTACTACGTAGTTGATTTTCGTTGTAAGGGTGCGTTGACAAAAACCCTTTGCCTAATGAAATATTGTATACACTCTTATGAATGGTAATTCTTTGAGTGCAGATGTTTCTATGGCTTCCCTGACTGATTTATCATTCAACTGGCTTGGCTTTATCAGCGCTATGATTTCAAATATTTCCTTCACCTATAGGAGTATCTACTCAAAGAAAGCCATGGCTATGCTTCTCTTGTAACTTCTTCCATATGCAATTGGCTTACGCTTCCTAATAATTTTTCTCTCCATTTTTAGACTGACATTTACAGTACTAATCTCTACGGTCTTCAGAAATTAATTTCTCCTTGATTATGTAGTGTTTTTTTTTTTATTTTTTTTTAGTTTTTTAAATTGTGATATTACAAGTTATTGAAGAAAATATATGTGTTTTATGTATATTATGATTATGTATAAGTATTTGGTACAATTTAAGTGAAAAAAGTGCAAAAAAAAAAAATTTATTTTTTTGGGGACTTTTGGCACCGGTTTTGGAAAAGAACCGGTGCTAAAAGTTTTTAAAAATATTTTTGGGGACTTTTGGCACTGGTTCTAAGTCAAAACCGGTGCAAAAACTGTGGTTTTTCGCACCGGTTCTCAGCAAGAACCGGTACGAAAAGTCTGATTTTAGCACCCTAGGAAATGTATGGGGTTTTAGCACCCCCCAAACAAGGACCGGTTCAAAACCAGTGCTAAGGGGGGGTTTGAACTGGTGCGGATTACGTGTTTTCGCCTAGTGTTAGTTCGGTAAGTGTTGTTCTTGGAATGGCAAATTTTAGCTCAATTTTATAGGGACCTAGGGTTTCTATGTTTGTTGATTTAAGTGAACTTAATTAATGATCGCAACATTTGAATTCCTAAACATGCATCTATCATACCATTCAATTATATATAAACACATTTATATATAGAAAACATAAGTAAAAGATGCATTTGGCAACTAGCATGACCCCTTGAGTCTTCAAATCTTCAAGGGCCTTCGATGCATCCTCTTGGTTCGTCTAAAACGCCGTCTTGAAATATCTCCGCCAAAAATGCAATTACTAGTTACTACGACTAGGATTAATCTAAATATTATGGTACAAAAATACGCAACGGTACGCAGACCGTATTTAAATTTACAAAAATACATAACGGATCGCAGTCGGTATTTACTATCCTAGTCGGGCCACACTAATTGCCATTTTCACAAAACCTGTGATACAATATACATTCCATTCATCCATTCACTATGTGTGAATGGCCCATGCATTTTACAACGATAAACAAGTAACAATGCATTAACACGCGTAAACTAGTAACTAACTTAGGTGGTTAATCTGATTAAAACGCCTAATTAACGAAGCTCCCATTAAATTCCGCATCCAAATTAATTAATCCAATTAATCAAGTCGGTTAACCCATATTTTGCCAAATTATTTTGCAAGTGCCGGAGGAACCGAGGCCTAGCCTCGTTAAAATAATTAAATAAATAATTAAAACGGCCCATTACGCAAAATGATAGCCCACCACATGCCTGAGTGCCTAGTGTTTCGGGGTTTTCTGATGTCCTGCGGGAGAGTTACAATTCCGAGACTGGAACCGGACGCCTGTACCTGCACAATAACGGAGACTCCTGAGAGCTCCGCCTCCAACGGTCAAGTTAGTACCTGATTAAGGAGTAATTAATACGGAAATTAAAGTAATAAGATCTCTCTAGGTGAGAGTGCTTAGTGTTGGTAATCTGCGTCGTTAGCGAGATTAGCCGGTTGTCGATGTTCCGTAATAACTCTGTTCTTCTCTGCTTGAGTTCTTTTGATTTGTTCAATTACCTAACTAATGAGGATTAATTAAGTATTTATAGCCTTGAGAAGCGTGCAACTCTCTAGGTTTAAAGTAAACCTAGGGCTGATCGGGCCTCTAAACTGGATTGGGCCTTCGCAATATTTTGTTCATTGATAACGCCGGATTCTGGCCGGTTTTCCCATTTGGCATGGGTGGACACGTGGCGTGTCTTAATTGGTCCGTAGAGGACGTATCTGTGATTGACACGTGGCAGGCTCCCGTTGGCCTTCGTGAAGGACCCGTGGCGGAACCTGGTTGGTCCACTTGTCTGACGGTGATTGGTGGATAAAAATCCCCTAATCATTTGCCCCTCACAGGTGGCACGTGACTGGTCACGTGTCGCCTGTGACAGGTGTCGCACGGTGACAGGCGACGGCCTGCTACAGGTGTCACCTTGCAAACGGCCGAGAGATTTTCCCGCCCAAATTTTGAATTTGGAAGCGACCCTTCGCCTTCTCACTTTGCCTATAAAAGGAAGTGCTGACTTCGGTCATTTTCACATTTGAGAACTTTGCGAGAACATTCGGACCCCTGAACTTGCTCTGACATTTCGGACCTTTTCTGCCTACCGCCTGTTCTGACAAGCCGACTGACCCGAACTTCCAGGACTTCATCAACCGTCACTCGTTCAGGTAACTCAGTTCTCTTACTCTTAATTTTCTTTTTATTTTTTGAAATGGCACCATGGAAGCACACGACACGACCTAAGTTAGTGATCAGCCGGTCACCGGGGACGGCTGAATCTAGGACTAGGAGTGCCGCCTGCCCTTTTCTGGACCCATCTTTGCCCTTTATACAAAGTCCGACTGTATCTGTGTCTATGCAGAACGTGATGGCCAGAACGAAACAGACTCCTATGATATCAAACTCAGACGGCTCTTCCCAAAGGGTGCTCCTTAGTGAAACATCTGACCAGGCGCCAGATGTAGAACGAGGCGACTGTCAAGCCGACAGTTCTGAGAGAGGGGCCAAGGTGTTCCCTTCCCATCTTACTGTTGACATGTCTAATTTTCCTCCTGCTCCTTCTAAGGGAGAGGAGGCGGGCCCCTCTAGGAGAGGGGAGGAGTCGTCCTCCTCGGACTCGTCAGAGGACGAGTCTGAGTCCAGCTCTTCTGGCCACAGTTCTCCAGGCTCAGAAGAAAAACATAGCCGCCTACAAGAGGCGAGACTTTCTCATGCAGTTGAGAAGGGGGACAATTGGGCGGAGCCATCCGCCTCTTACAGAGAGGAAAACGCCCCCTACTACTGCAGGGTACCCCGGGGCCGGATTGCAACCATGCAAGACAACGTGGCGAGCTTTATTGCTAACCACAAAATGGGCCCGGAATTTTTACTGTTTGTGCCGGATCCAGAAGACACTGTCGTCTGGCCGGCTGGTACCAGCTATGGTGACGGCTGCTTTGGCTGCTATGTGGCGGCCATCAAAGCTGGACTGCGCTTCCCATTACATCCGGCTGTTCAGCGGATTTTAGATGGGTATGATCTGGGGTTATGGCAGTTAGCCCCCAACTCTTGGGTAAACGTACTCGGCTATGTGGCCGGGTGCAAAATGTACGGGGTGGAGCCAAGCTTTGAGGCTTTCGCTCACATGAACTATCTCAGCCGGACCCCTAAGTCGGGAGGTACCGGCTGGTACCAATTAACAAGCCATAGGGGTTACCTCATGACGAGAGGTAAGGCGAACAAATGGAAGGATTGGCGGAACACCTTCCTTATCATTGAGGGTTCAGACACGGAACTGAACAAACGTTTTAACAAGTGGAATAGGGATCCGCCTCTCCTCGCAGGCGGCCGCAGCATGCCGCCTGTTCCCCCAAAGGCTAAAAAAGAGATCCTAGACAAAGGACTCTTCAAAGTAGAGACTAGGGTGAACTCTACTTCAGGGGTACGAGAGCAAGTACCCCTAAACTGCGTCCCGAGCTTCAAGTGGCTCTATGACGAGTACTTCTTGGCCGCCTGTGGCCTCGGCAGTCGGTGCTCTAGAGGTAGCCGGCCTGACAAATACTCTGTTTTTTCACGCCTTGTTTACTTGGGACTTATACTAACTTTGTTGTTTATTTCTTGCAGCTGACGCCATGAGTAAAATAACAGCATCCAAGACTGCGGCGGCCATGTTGCGGGCCTCGCTCATGAAACAGTCGTATGCCGACTCCCCCAACAAGGAGGCACCCTTGGTAAGCTTCGAAAACTCTTCCTCTTTTAGTTGTCTTATGCATATACTAACTCTTTTTGTTTTCAGTCTGGCACTCCAAGGGCTTCTTCCTCGCAACAGCCGGACCCCAAGGCCCGGAGGACGACTGTTGCAAGCTCTCCTGGGTCTTCCAGGAAAACAGTGGCGGCTGAGAAGCAGCCGGCCACTTCTTCAAAAACCCAGGCGGGGCCGCCTAGATGTATGGATACTCACTTGTAAAAACTCACCCTTGCTTCCTCCTTGACTAGGTCTAACTTGTTTTTTCCTTTCACTTAATGCAGCCGGCCCCCAAGGACTTGACTTGGTTGAGGTAGCCAAGTCAATGGTTAAAGTAGTTCCTCCATCTGACAGGGAGGCGGTCAGGGGTGCCGGCACCCTTGACCTTGATGGGATTTCAGGGGTCCTTGCTGAGGTACACTTAGCATATTTTTGAGCTTTTGAGTTCCAGGACGCCTGTTAACTTTTCTGTTTGGAAACTGACGCCTGTTTTTCTTTGTACTTAGGCCCTGCTCCGAGTCAACAGCCTTCGCAAGCCGATTGATCGGAAAAACAAAGAGGTAAAGGCCGCAAAGGCTATGGCCGCCTCCAGCTGTGATAAGGCAATGTTTCAAATTGCCCAAAATGAAGTACTGACCATTGATCTTCTTTATTATCAGGCGCAGGCTACCGCCGCTGTTCGGGCTCAGTTAGAGGCGGCCAAAAGAAGGTTGACGAGCTGGAGGGGACCGTCACCAACCTTAAGGCCGAGCTGAAACCTCTTCGCCAAAAAATGCACTCCTACGAAGCCATGGAGAAATCTTTGGCCAACGTAAAAGAACGCCTGGTGAACCAAGAGAAGAGTCTTACCCAAGAGCTCTCGGATAAGGCCGAGCAAGAGAAACAAGAGCTCGTCCGGGAGATGGTGGAAGACTCCGCTCAAATCCAGCGCATGACCTGGGAACGACTGTTCCCCAGTGCCGACTTTGCCTCATGGGAAAGAACGTACCGCCAGTGTTCGGAAATATATAATCAACAGATCCTGGCGGCTGCTGAAGAAGAGGCGTTGGACGGTGCGTTGGAGGAGGAAGAGCCGGTCGTGGCGCTTGTGCCACTTGGGGGTAAGGCATCAAAAGAGGGTGCAGCTAAGGCCGAGTCCAGCAAGAAGAGTGCTGACCAGGCGGCGGCTGCTGATACTGAACTGCCCCCTTCTTAAGCTTTAAGTATATATATATATTTTTTTTTTTTTTTTTTTTTTTTTTTTTCACGGCCTGTGTGCCGTTTGCTTTGTAATTACCCGGCCAGGGGGCCGGGGTTTTGAATATTCTGCTGGTCTTTAATGGCCGGCTCATTTATCAAATTTTTGTTTTGGTTCAAATTTGT